CAACAACAGCTCCAGAGCAGAGATGCTCCATGGGAGTTCTGCAAGAGGAGCTCAAGGATATGTTTCAGATCCCTTTCCTGAGGGAAAGTGTTTCAAAAGTCTCTTATAATCACTGAGGCCTCAGTGGAAGCTTTCCGCCGCTGCACGCACGGATCCAGCCTACCTGCATCCTGTGCAGGCTGGCACGGAGCTCCCACGCAGACCAATCTCCTCTCCCTCCCCCAAATCCCTTTGCCTGCACATGCAGCTCTGCCCACACGCAGGCGGGGCAGCCTCCACGCACAGCAGCTCCTCGCACCTCCCTCCACAGTCCCTCCCTGTGGAGGTGCTACCTGCAGGCATCAGGCTCTGAGCACACAGCCCGGGAGCGATCCCTGCCTGTTTGCACACACAGCAGAGAACCACACACAAGTTGGGAAATACCTCTAATATCACTGAGTCCAGCTGTTAACTCAGTACTGCCAAACCTACCTACAGACCTTCCAGTGCAAAGGGAAACTGAGGCACGGGCAGTCTCTGTAACCTCTCTGCAGGTCAGAGAGTACTCAGAGCCACAGCTTTGAGCACAGCAGGAGGAGGCTGCAGGACAGAGGATCACAGAGTGGTTTGGGTTGGAACGAACCTTTAAGATCACCCAGTTCCATCCCCTGCCATAGGCAGGGACACCTTCCACTAAACCATTTACATGATGGGAAGGGAAAGATTCAGTCTGGTTCCTCTACTTTGTAACTTACATCACAACGTTTCATGCAGGAGGTGTATCCGACTGAGGAGAAACGTTATTTGCACTAAGACCAAAGGATTTGCAAGAGGAGTGTCCTGGGTTTGGTTCGGGTAATGATAATTTTCATTCCAGTAGCTGGAGGCACGACCAAAACTGCCTGCGAGACAGCGTTAAGTGAAGGATGCACCAGGAAAGTACAACTCCAGGAGGGGCAGAGAAGGCTACAAATGAACAGCAGCTCGTTAGAGTCCAGGTCTGGACAGGCTCAGACGCTGCTGTGGGGCTGAGCTCCCCCTCCACGCTCAGATTACGCCTGCGAAAGGACAAGGGGGTGTTTGTGTGGAATAACCCACTTTTAATGAGGCGTCTGCCAAAGGCACAATCAAGGAGCGGCAGAGTCGCTGACGCCTCGGGGGAGTGGGGATGTCTCTCGTGCCTTTATCTCGGTGCCGCATTGAACCCCGTGTGCCTGTGCTTGAACTGGTGACATTGAGACCATCACAGACATAATGAGGAGGAAGAGGTCGCTCCGAGGCGTGTGCCCGGCCTTGCTGGGGTTTGTGCTCGCAGCTCCCGC